TCACTTCTACCATTTTTTTCAAATTATTGTTGCTTTTCCACAATAAATTTTCATTTAAAAAAACGGCCTCGAGCTCAATATAAATTGTTGAATATAATTGTTATCAGGCCAAAAAATAACAAAAACAAATAACTTAAGGACGAGCACACCTAAAAGTTAAACATTCTAAAAATAGAATTATTAGCAAAAACCAACAAAACCAACAACCACATGATCAAGTGAATTGCAGCGGAATAGCTGCGCTTGATTGTGTTGGCATAACAAAAATGAAAATAGTGGAAAAAAGCAAACGATAATTTACAAGGCGTACTTAGCACGGTGCATAGGCAACTGGCTGAGTCAGTGGGATCGTCGGTTCGAATCCTACTGAAAGAAGTCTGATGAGAAAATGTGGTGATTTCCGAAATAGCTATCACTTCTACCATTTTTTCAAATTATTGTTGCTTTTCCACAATAAATTTTCATTTAAAAAACGGCCTCGAGCTCAATATAAATTGTTGAATATAATTGTTATAAGGCCAAAAAATAACAAAAACAAATAACAAAGTTGTATGTAATTTGCAAACATAAGCGAAAGAAAGAATAAACGCCCGACTATACATACTCTCTCGGCGAACATAACACTGTACAGCACTCGGCTGGGTATTGGACCAAGCCATCTTTTTTTTAAGATATTGAGTCAAAAGTATAAAAAGTAAGTTCTCCGTTTTTCGAAGTTAGCCTCCGAAATCGAGATATGGGCTTTCGAAGTTCGAAATTGGACCTTTGGTAAAAAATTATTTTTAATTATTGCATGTAAAAAGCAAAAAAAGTAAAAATACAGACGTGGTCCGCCTTTTTCTCTTATTTATATGGTATATATGTAACTGTTTTTGTGAAAACTTATATTACAAGGTGCAATAACGGGTCAAAGGTCAGATCTTCGAAAAATTAAAAACTTAATATAATTTAACCCTCTTTCTTGTGATATGCATATTTGTATACGTCGTATATAAAAATTTGAGAAAAAAACACATTTAAAGGAAAAAATACCTTTTTTTTGTATAAAAAAAAATATTTAACAAAAAAATTACTACCCGATTTTTAAAAACTTGGCATCGTTGTTAAGACGATTAAACCTTCTTTCGTCTAATATGGCTATTGGTATACTTCGTATATAAAAGTTGGAGATAAAAACACTTAAAAAGAAAAAATACCAATTTTTTCACATAAAATACTATTTTACAAAAAAATTACCAATTAATACAATTGAATACCGTATTTTAACAAAACAAATAATTTATAGTGTTTTAAGCGTTAAATTGTTCTTGTTCACCTACAGCCCTGTTAAAAATAAGCCAAAAGTATATGTAACAGAAGTCTAAGGCATATAAAGATATAAAAACAACATGGTTTTTGATTTTTTACATAACAGGTTATATATAAAAATTAAAGATAATTTTCTGTTTTATTTAAATAAAGTATTCACTTGTATTACTAACTAAAAATTTGTTTGTTAAAAATATTTTTTATAAGAAAAAATTGGTATTTTTTCCTTTTAAGTGTTTTCCTCAAATTTTTATAAACGAATTATACCTATGTGCATATCAGAAGAAAGGCGATTTAATCGTCTTTACAACGATCCCAATTTCTTAAAAATAAATTAGTAATTTTTTTGTTTAAAATATTTTTTTTTTAAAAAAAAGGTATTTTTTCATTTAAATGTGTTTTTTGTAAAATTTTTATATACGAAGTATACAAATAGACATATCGAAAGAAAGGGGGTTTCATCACCTTTACAACGATATAAATGTTTTTTAAAGCAGTTCAAAATTGTTTGAAATATAAGGAATTTAATTTTTCGAAGACCTGTACTTTGACCACTTATAGCACCTGTAATATAAGTTTGCACAAAAAAAGTTATATATCATTTAAATAAGAGCAAAAGGAGGACTACGTCTATATTTTTAGGTTTAGCGTCTTATACGCAAACGTCAAGCTGTGAAGCTGTGTTTTTCTGTGATCTGTTTAAATTTTGTGTTTTATGAAGCTGTTTACGCTTATTAAAGTAAAAAATTAAAAAAAGTGTTAATAAACTTCTGGTGCACAATTTAAAGATAAGTAAAACATCAAAATTTCCTCTAAATTTGATTAATTTAACTTGATATTCTTAATTGCATGTGCCGAGTATTTTGTTTCATATAATATATTGTTGTTGTACAATTGTTTTTGTTTGTGCACATTGATTTTGCTCTTTTTGTCTTTTTTTCATTTCTGCTGTTTCATCTTTGTCACAGCTGTTTGCGTTGTGTTTATTAGGTGTCAAATATACAGTGCATTTAAAACTGTTCGCTACATAGCTTTTCAACTGATATTTACCAGCTGATTGGTTCACTGATTAATACATCGTTTTCAAAACTGTTTTTGCTTTTTTGCTTCTAAAACCTAAAAATAAATATAATTTTAAACATGTAGTGTATTTACACCAATTGCAACGTTAAAAGCGACTCCTATGTGTCATGCTGGCTCTGCGATGGGATTGCCCATATAAAATGTGCTGATTTGAGTGGTAGAGTATTAGACGCTATTAACGAGGGTAAGGGTCTTCGTTGGTCTTGTCAAAAATGTAGATCAACCGAAGTTGATTTATTTAAATTCTTTAGGCAGTCCAGAAATGGTTTTTCTGAGATCGGGAAGGATCTGTCGGTGCTTGTTGAGAAATTTAAGCATTACGAAAAAATGTTTAGGTCTTTCACTTGTCTCGACAACCCTCCGCACTCTGAGGATAGCCGAGAAAATAAAGGTGGGCGTGTTATTAGTCCACCTAAAAAGACAGCCACGGATTCTAGTAAAAAAAAATCCTCCATCCCCCAGTCCTTGGAACTTATTAATCTATCTTCTCCATGCCCTCAGGCATTGGAGCCTCCGATATCTAAAGCCATATCCACTAGGTCTACTTCTAGAAATAGTCAAACCGTTGATTTAACAGTGTTGCCATCAACATCT